GCCTGAAAACGATAATACAAATTGACCCAAGCCTTGTGGGTGAAACTGGGGCCGTAGATCGTTGTGCGAGCACAAAGTCACAAGAAGGTTTGAAAGTGTTTGCCTTGATCAGATTGTCATGCTAGATAAGACACTCTCTCCCAGAAACTGTAACTCAGTTCTGCTCAGCATAGTTGCAGTATAAACCATAGTTGGGCTCTGTGGGTGTTGAGAAAACACAAAAGTGTCTGAGCGAGCGTCTGCAATAAGAATTGGCCAAACAGGTATCCATGAATGCGAGTGGCCAGCTATTATTATTACATAAGGATATACATAAAGTAATGATTATGTATGCATGTATAAACATGCACACACATCCATATAAGCACACTATATATATATATATATATATATATATATATATATATATTTACATGCACACACATAGTAATAGCATCACCTAAATATATATATATATATATATATATATATATATATATATACACACACACACACACATGTACATTGACAGGCACAGTAATATGTTCTTATTGGCTAGATATATAATATCATCTTAAACAGTTATCTATACAAAATTACACTTATATATTTATGTATGTATTTCAGTGTATGTGTGTGTGTTTATGTGTATTTCAATTAATATATATAATTTAATATACATATATGTGTGTGATTATATGTGTATTTCAATTAATATCCAATTTAATACACATATGTATGTTTGATATTAGTTTGCCAATGCATAAATATGTATACATTACATTCTCAGATAAAAATATGTATAAGTAAATGAAATTTTTTTATATATATATATATATATATATATATATATATATATATATATATATATATAAGAATGTATATATATATAGAGAGAGAGAGAGATAGATAGAAAGATATAAAAATCTATTGAAAGCAACTCATAAGTTTTTGTGTAGAACTTGGCAGCTGTGATGTATTCATAATAAATATATAAAACCCCATCTTGACTGCATATCAGGGAAGTTTTATCCCAAAGGCAAGCTATCCATTAATTATCTCCGTGTTTTGACTGAGACGCTGGCATTCTGCCACAAACCTGTCTCTGAAAACACAATTTTGCCGCATAAGCACCTCATTTTTGCCTGGGAATCATGAGAGATGCCAGGAGAGACAGGGTTGGGAAACTAAATTAATGATAAGATTCACTTGTCCCTCTGAGCTGGTCTTGCTGGGTAGACATCGCCTGCTCAGGTTAAATAGAAATTCTAGGTAATCGAATAAACTTTACCTGCATCTTTGACCAAGAATCATTGAGGTCTTCTTTAAGGGTTTCTACATGATTGCAAGAGTTTGGGGGTCAGGACAATTTTTTTTTTTTTTTTTTTTTATCTATATTTTTTATTTTATTTTATTTTATTTTTTAGGAAGGTGTTTCTTTTTTTAAGTATGAGTACATCTGAAAGAGGACACTTGGCCTTACTGGTTGATCGGACCTTCCATATTCAATCATTCACACAGTCAGCTACAGTGAATGGAACTTGGCAGTGCCAAGTTGGTGTCAACATCATCAAAAAGATAAAATTTCTCCTGTGATCTGCTGATCATATGGTCACAATAATTTGACAGAAGACAAAACCTCGTCTTTCTGTTAACATTTTATTCTTGAACAAAGATTTTGTATGAAGCAAAAACTAAAAACAACTGGTCTGTAATTATGACAGTCCTACCATTAAAATGTTGCACACTTGACTAAGAAGTTTGAAGATGACACATTTTCTAACAGGGATTTCTTAAGAAAGAATTATCATATTATTCAGCAAACAGGTTTATATATATATATATATATATTATATAAAAAGTATATATATATATATATATATATATATATATATATATATATATATATATATATATATCTGTCTATATTTCTGAAATGAGGTGTTATGTACACTATTTACATTATTCAGACTATTGTCCTCATCTTTTGTTACCATATTTATCACAACGTTTTGTCCGCTCTAGCCTTCTTCAGGTGGTTGGAATGTCAAATTGTACTCTTTATTTTTCTCACTGGGGTAGACTGTTCTAGTTCAACATGCCATGTCTAATGGATGTCAGTTATCTGCTGTTAATTCACCTAACACCTTTATCCATTGTGCCATGTGTCCTTAAGTACACATGGTACAGTGGATAAATGCATTGGTTAGATCCAGTGACAGGACCCAAAGAGTTGTGAGTTCAATACCTGCTTAAGACAGTGGAGAACTTAGAGAGGTGAATTAACAGGAGATAACTGATAACTGACATCATTTAGACATGGAACTAGAACAGTCTACTAAACGATATATATTTAGAATAAACATTATTTTTAGTAGATACCCCTATTTGAGTAGATGCTCTGTTCATTTTAAACAGTATATTTATTTAGTTTTGTCTACCAGCCTGAATATGCGAGAAATCATATGAAAGAAAAATCCACCCACCAGCAGCATTCAAAAATGTTCCCTCTTTGCATAACAAACTGTTGTTAGATCTGATGTGCTTTTAACCGACTAAGCCATGGGTGTCACTGATTAAGAAAGGTTAAATACTGCCTTTTAGGCACACCCTTCTCATTGTGGATTTCCAAAAGTTAATAAATGTCCAGATTTGTATACAACACAAGAACAAAGCAGTTTCTAAAGAAGTAAGGGGTTTACTTTTTATTTTTTAATCCAACAGATTTTTATCACTTTGACTACTTTAAAATCTGTCGGACAAATAAATAAATATATAGAAATCTGTTACTTCTTATATATAATCTTACGGTTTTATGCATAACTATGCTGAAAACAGTGATGAGCCTGTGCGAGAGTCTGCAATAGGAATTGGCTAGCCACCCTAGTAGACAGGTATCTTCAAATACATGTGACCAGCTAATATATATATATATATATATATTTGATATGCAACTAACCTTTAAAAATCTAATATGATGTTTAAAGGGTACCATAAAACCTATATATGTAATGGTGGCCAAGAACAGTGATTCTAATGAAGGGCAGTCTTGATGTCACTTTTATACCTTTAGTAGGAAGAATTAACTGAAAGGTTTCATCAATTCTGTATATGAAGGGATAGGTATTTGGGTTTTGTTAAACAGGTAGAATGATGGACAGAACTCTTTCAATGTTTTTCTTTGATCAAAGATACCCAAAATAGTTATAATAAAAATCAAACCAGTATATCCTGATGAAATACTACAATTTCAATATTATCTCAGCATGAAAGTCTTGCATCTTATTTCCAGTCACACTCTGTTGATAGTCCATTTTGTGCAGATGTACATATTGGAAATAAATGGTGCTTTTCTTCCTGTCATTTTCTGCCTTTGTCCTGTACACTTGACAACCCACTTGGGATTTTTGCAACAATACATCATATTGCCTTGTACAGAGCATCAGACTACTTTAAGTATCATTACTCAACTATATTATATTTGATAGCATCATATATGCTATCATTTATAGAATTTTAATACCAATGGAAGGAATAAACACTTTTTTATACGTATATATATCTTTTAAACATACATACATACATATATATATATATATATATATATATATATATATATATATATATATATAGCCTTCTCTGATGATCTGTTAGGTGGAACCTTGGCAGGTTTGTCTGGCTTGCTAGGTTTAACTCTATATATATATATATATATATATATATATATGTATGTATTTATGTATGTATGTATGTATGTATGTATGTATGTATGTATGTATATATGTCCATCCAAATACAAATATATGAATGTAATTCATGTACAAATATACACATTTACTATGTACTTTCAGATATAATACAAATTTACAGAGAAATATCAATGACATATTTGCACATACAAATATAAATATAACACATCCATATTTACTTATATATATATATATATATATATATATATATATATATGATATTTATTTCTATTTCAAATATATGAAATTGCTATGGGTTACAAGAAAACTGATATATTATAAAATTATTGTTGGTAGCTCATATTGCAAAAAATCATGAGAGTGTCCGCCATTTAAAGTGGACATTGATTTTCTTTCATGCTCTATTGCAATTTTCATGTTTGAATACCATGTGCTGTAAGCTTGGATGTGCAGGTGGTATAATAGAAAATGGGTTAGAATACTTAACTGGAGAGCCAAGTTCCAATTTCAGTTGGATTCATTTTATTCACATATATGCAAATACCCTTGGGAAAGGGATGAAGCCACCTCTTCTTCCATCAATTATTCATTAATTCATAAGATTTGTGTCACTAAATCATTATTATCATAAAAAATTTCATAGAATCTAAAAAAATATTTCCTGGCTTTAAATTACCTGGAATGGGTTGATAAGCTGTTGATAATTAATCAATCAAAAATTTGATTCAGTGCCACCAATTCCTACCAATCAGTTACTGTTTTAGTGTGTATCTTCCCACCACATTTGTATCCGACATTATAAAGGCATTGTCCCAACTTTTTCTCAATATGTTAAAGACACTTAGAATGTATTTATTTAAAGGATTCAAATATCTTGTTTTATAAATTTTACTTATTTCTTATTTTATTTTATTTTTTTTTTTAAATTTTATACTTCAACAATAAATGACATACCTCCTTGTGTTTTTGTATTTCCTCTTAGGTTAGATAATGTAGGATACAAATATGCTGGTAGGATACACTGTTTGGGAAGACACATGCTAAAGTAGTACTAATAATTTTTATATTTATTGTTTCATTGTATTTTGCCTCCCATGGATGTTATCTTTTTTTATCAATCCCATTTTTTAAAAGTTTCAATTTCATCCACACTTTCTCTTTATTTACAGGAAGAAAAATTGAATATTTTTCTTTTTTTTTTGTCCTCAAATCCTCCTGATTATTTTTCTTTTTTTTTTTTTTACATTTTTCTCTTTGCTCCATTTATTGAAAATGAATGCTTTCTTCTTAAATTATTTTTTTTTTCTATAG